TGTGATTTGTTTTTGTACTTTTTTTGTGAACGAATTTTGAGTTTAGCGAAAGAGTTCGACACTACGTGTCTTCATTAGTTTTTCCTTGTTCGCTAAACAGTATATTCATTGTATTATGCTTTTTTATAGCGAAATATCTTTGAAAATAAAGTATGAATTAATGAACAGCTATTCAATAGAGCATCTTGTACCAACATGATACCATAATAACCGCTAGGTTTTTCAAAAACTGACTTTTCTGATTAATTTCTGATTTTGCAAAAAAAATTTCTGATGGTTTTCTGATTTTGAAAAAAAAAATTCTGATTTTTGAGTTTTCGATCTGGCAACCCTGGCTGCGATACTAGAGAAAGTTTATCAATACCAAGACTTTTGTTTTCTTATCATTCAGTGAATGACAGACTGAAAAATAAAAGTACTTCCACTATAGTCACCAAAAATCTCACAGAATGTGCAACGTTAATGAGTGCAAAAATTATTGAATATAAGAGGCTACATTCATTAAATGTGGTCTCAATATAAATCAGAGAAAGGAACGTCATGATATATGTTTTTGTTGGTCTGGTGATGCAAATAATATGAATCGAAAAATTTCCAAGTGTTTTATGGCAAACTGTATTATTTTTAAACTTAGAACTTATTAAATTGGGACTTTCGACTCCCAATTGAATAGAGCTTGATATATTCTTATGCTTACTCAAAGACCACGAGGTTTAGAGAACTGTTTCATTAGTCTACAAAGCGATTCATTTTAATAAAATCTTCTGTACAGACTCACCATTGTATATGTTGATTAGATAAAGGTTCTTCTTCCAAGTAGACAATTAAGAGAAGGCCGATAAAGTTGAAAGAATCGCTTTTCACACATAAGCGAGTTCCAGGTACAATGATGACTTCTTGCTCACTTTGAATAGCTGAGTAAGCAGAAATATCTTTGCCGTGCATCACCTTAATGACAAATAAGACACCCTTTTCGCCAACAAATGCTTCGGTGACTTTAGTATCTTTTGAACAGGAATTCACACTCCACCAAGTTTGCACACTATTGTTTGCAAAATTAGAATCGATATCACCTGAAACGCCTCGCCAAACAGTGCCGTTGAACGATGGTAATTTTTCAAGAGCAGTAAGGAATAATTTCAAGAAGGCAAACCATGGCTTCAACAATTGTCGTTTTTCATCCCGAAGCGCTTTATTGAGCATTGGAAAAAAGCTTGTTTGCATGGAGTAAAGATAAATTGCTGCTGATTCATCCCATGTTAAGAGAGACGAAGTTCGATTACAATTTTCTTTAGCTAAAGCAACATAATTTGTAAGACCAGGAACTGATAGAACAAGTTCTTGTACAGTTTGTTCTAATGTCATCACAGGTAAATGTTGGTAACCGTATATTGGACTACGATTGGCTTGTTGAAATTCTGATACATCATCACTCACAAAGCGATTGCTCTTGAATGATGTCATATTTTGTGCCATTCAATTGACAGTTTCCTAGCGTGAATAAAACTATGTCACTACAACATTAGCTATATTTCTTCTACTAGGTCCTTCTCATAGTCTCTTCAGTATCCAAGGAACAATGAATTTCGACAAACTTCATTGTACAGAATGACACTGACCTTGAAGTTCGTTTTTATACCAATTACTATTAAGAAAGTTTTTTTCCTAAATATTAAAACCCAAGGAAACACTCGTCATAGAACAACTCTGAATCATTCGGAAAAATTTCACTTTTGGATTTACATACATCATAAATGAAAAATTTACTCCACCTATATAAAAATGCAAAAAAATTTGACTATTTGGCTTATGTCCATATAAACCACTGAATCAGAACCCATTCAACGGATCAAGAAGGCGACTATGCTCAGTATTTTCTGATTGTCTCGTCATTAATTTTGTCATTCGAACTCGTGTATATTCTAGAAGGAATAAACAACTATGGACCAGACACATTTTATATTAGATCGATGAAAATATTGTCCAAGGAAATATTGCAAACTAAATATCATGCGACACATATAAAATACTGCTGCCATCTAGCAATGCTTTGGCATTATCTACCGTCAAATAGAAAAATATAAAAGGTTTTCGTTTCAGCATATTTGTGCTATGCTCATCCGTTTATGTTAACTACTGTTTACCTTTTTTTTATAGAAATACTTAATAACTTGAAAAACAATTTATCAAAAGAGATGATTGGTTTATGATTTACATACATCTGCAATCAAATTGAATTTCGACTACTTTATACTATCGAGAAACGAAGATATTCAATATTTTAGTAAGGTGCGGGAAATTCAAAATTTGAGCATCACTTTTTTTTCCAATGTTTTATGTATGGTTGGATAGAGCTCGTCAAACTGTATAAGAAAATATATTTAAAATTTTTTTTTTCTTGCTTTATATAAAAAAAATCAAAACACTTTGATGGTATCAGTCCATGTAAAAATCGACCACCCAGGTCATTCACGCCTGGCCGTAAACGGCCATTCATCAATCGAATACGGCAGATCACGACGATTGTATACGATAGCAGTTTACGGCGGTCGTAAACGAACCGAATACAGCGAAAAACGACCACTGTTTACGGTAGCTGTTTACGGCTGCTGTACACGATCATTTACAGCATACTACGTGAATCGTACACGTTACCCGCAAAAAGTCTGCCGTAAACTGCTACCGTAAACATACGGCGACCGTATACTTTGCTCGAAAAATAACATAAGCCATCGTATACATCAACCGTTTTCGAATGCCGTTTACAGCAGTCGTACTGATTCCATTACGCCATTCCACAGCCACTGTAAACATCGGTCGCATACGCTCACCGCAACCGATCAGAGTGGCAATGCGACCACCGTATACGCAAGTACTATAAAACCTCCCAATACCTCTGTATTACACGACCAATCAAAGCTTGCACGCTGTATATCCATGAGGAGATAGGCGAGAACTCACACATATGCCAATCAATCGATAGACCGTCTTCAAGAACCCAACGATCGGCCCGAACATACCTATACGTTGTCCTTATAATAAGAGGGAAAGGTCCTCTTGAAGTTTTATTGGGACCACTAGTCTCCCAGTTCTGAGTGAAGGACTTGAAATGGACCCACACATATACCCATCAATCAATAGAGAATCCTCGATAACCCTATGATCGGCCCGAACATCGCTATATGTTGTCCTTATAATAAGAGGGAAAGGTCATCTTGAAGTTTTATTGGGACACCTAGTTCCCTAGTTTTGAATGAAGGACTTGAAATGGACCCACACATGTACCCATCAATCGATACAGAATCCTCGATAACCCTATGATCGGCCCGAACATGCCTATATGTTGTCCTTATAATAAGAGGGAAAGGTCCTTTTTGAAGTTTTATTAGGATCCCTAGTTTGAAATGAAGGACTTGAAATGGACCCACATATACACCCATCAGTCGATACAGAATCCTCGATAACTCTATGATCGGCCAGCACATGCCTATATGTTGTCCTTATAATAAAAGGGGAAGGTCCTCTTGAAGTTTTATTGGGACCGCTAGTTCCCTACACTCTAAAAAAAAATCGGTTTTTTACCGAACCCCTGAAAAAGGTTCCGGAGATTTATAAAAGCGTCCAAAAGTGTCCAAAGTCTCGAAAAGAGGATAAAAAAATCTACAAAACCTTTTTAGGTTCTTAC